AGTTGAATCCGTCAATAGACCAATAACCAGGTCTCTAGTTAACGCAGCAATTAATAGTCTCCAAACCAAATAAAGTCCAGGACCAGAAAGGTCAACAGCCGAATTCTACCAGAGGTACAAAGAGGAGCTGATACCATTCCTTCGGAAACAATTCCAAACAATACAAAGAGAGCGAATCCTCCCTAAATCATTTTATGAGACCAACATCATCCTGACACCAAAACCTGGCAGAGACACCACTAAACAAGAAAATTTTAGGCAAATAACCGTGATGAATATTGATGCAAAAATCTTCAATAAAATACTGGCAAACTGAATGCAACAGCACATCAAAAACCTTATCCATCACCATCAAGTCAGCTCATCCCAGGAACACAAGGCGGTTCAACATACACAAATCTATAAATGTGATCCTTCACATAAACTGAACCAAAGACAAAAACCAAAGACAAAGAATTGTCTCAATAGATGCAGACAGGCTTTCTACAAACTTCAACAGCACTTTCCACTAAAAACTCTCAATAAACTAGGTATCCATGCATCATGTCTCACAATAGTAAGTGCAATTTATGACAAACCCACAGCCAATATCATACTGAATGGGCAAAAACTGGAAGCATTCCATTGAAACCTGGCACAAGACAAGGGTGCTCTCTCTCACCACTCCTGTTCAACATAGTATTGGAAGTTCTGGCCAGAGCAATCAGGCAAGAAAAAGAAATGAAGGTATTCAGTTAGGTAAAGAGGAAGTCAAATTGTCTCTAATTGCAGATGATGGGATTGTATATTTAGAAGACCCCATCATCTCAACCCAGAATCTCCTTAAGATGATAAGCCACTTCAGCCAAGTGTCAAGATAAAATGTCAATGTGCAAAAATCACAAGCATTCCTATACACAAATTACAAACAGACAGCCAAATGATGAGTGCAGTCTCATTCACAACTGATACAAAGAGAATAAAATACCTAGGAATACAACTAACAAGGGACATGAAGGACCTCTTCAAGGAGAACTACAAACCACTGCTCAAGAAAATAAGAGAGGACACAAACAGATGGAGAAACATTCCATGCTCATGGTTAGGAAGAATCAGTATTGTGAAAATGATCATACTGCCCAAAGTAATTTGTAGATTCAATGCTATCGCCATCAGGCTACCACTGGCCTTCTTCACAGAACTGAAGAAAACCACCTTAAACTTCATATAGAACCAAGAAAGAGCCCGCATAGCCAAGATAATCCTAAGCAAAAACAAAACAAAGCTGGAGGCATCACGATACCTGACTTCAAACTATGCTACAAGGCTAGAGTAATCAAAACAGCATGCTAATGGTACCCAAACAGAGATATAGACCAATGCAATAGAAAAGAGTCCTCGGAAGTAATGCCACACAACCACAACCATCTGATCTTTGACAAATTTGACACAAACAGGCTATGGGGAAAGAATTCCCTGTTTAATAAGTGGTTTTGGGAAAAGTGGCTAGCCATATGCAGAAAGCTGAAACTGGACCCGTTCCTTTCACCTTATACAAAAATTAAATTTAGATGGATTAATGATTTAAACACAAGGCCTAACACCATAAGAACCCTAGCAGAAAACCTAGGCAATACCATTCGGGGCACAGGCAAGGACTTCATGACTAAAACACCAAAAGCATTGGCAACAAAAGCCAAAATAGACAAATGGGATCTAATTAAACTTAAGAGATTCTGCACAGCAAAAGAAACAATCATTACAGTGAACCAGCAACCAACAGAATGGGAAAAAATTTTTGCAAACTACCCATCTGACAAAGCACTAATAATCAGAACCTACAAAGACCATAAACAAATTTACAAGAAAACAAACAAACAACCCCATCCAAAAGTGGGCAAAGGATATGAAAAGACACTTTGCAAAAAAAGACATTTATGCGTCCAACAAACATTTGAAAAAAACGCTCATCATCACTGGTCATTAGAGAAATGCAAATCAAAACCACATTGAGATACCATCTCATGCAGGTTAGAATGGCGATTATTAAAAAATCTGGAGACAACAGATGCTAGAGAGGATGTGCAGAAATAGCAACATTTTTACACTGTTGACAGGAGTGTAAATTAATTCAACCATTGTGGAAGACGGTGTGGCAATTCCTCAAGGATCTAGAAATAGAAATACCATTTGACCCAGCAATCCCATTACTGGGTGTATACTCAAAGGATTATAAATCGTTCTGTGATACAGACACATGCACACGTATGTTCATTGCAGCACTGTTTACAATAGCAAAGACTTGGAACCAACCCAAATCCCCATCAATGATAGACTGAATAAAGAAAATGTGGCACATATACGCCATGAACTAGTATGCAGCCATGAAAAAGGATGAGCTCATGTCATTTGCAAGGACATGGATGAAGCTGGAAACCATCATTCTAAGCAAACTGACATAAGAACTGAAAACCGAACACCACGTGTTCTCACTCATAAGTGGATGTTGATCAGTGAGAACACTTGGACACAGGCAGGGGAACATCACAGACCAGGGCCTGTAGGGGTGGGTCTAGGGGAGGGATAGCAGAAGGTGGAAGGATTGGGGAGGGATAACATTAGGAGAAATACCTAATGTAGATGTTGGGGGCATGGATGCAGCAAACCACCATGGCATGTGTATACCTATGTAACAATCCTGCAGGATCTGCACATGTACCCCAGAACTTAATGTATAATAAAATATATATATAATAAAATATAATATAATAAATAAAAATTTAAGTCTTGTTTTGTGGCCCAACATATGATGTATGTTAGAGAACGTATCTTGTGTGCTTGAGAAGAATGCTTATTGTACTGTTGTCAAATGGAATGTTCTATATATATCTGCTACATCCATTTGGTATAACATGTAGTTCAAGTCCAATGTTTTTATTGATTTCTGGAGAGCTTTTCTATTCAGTTCTGTCTGTGGCGTATCAAAGTCCCCTACTATTATTGTATTGTTGTCTATTTCTTCCTTTAGATGTATTGATGTTTGCTTTATAAGTCCCATTGCTCCTATGGGGAGTGCATATATACTGACAACAGTCACGATGTCTTGGCGAATTGACTCCTTTATCACTATATCATGACCTTTGTTGTTTCTTTTTACAGACTTGACTTGAAATTCTATTTTAGTTAATTGTTAGTATAGCCACCCTGCTTTCTTTTGGTTTCCACTTACAAGGAATATGTTTGTTTATNTTTACACACTTGACTTAAAATTCTATTTTAGTCAATTGTTAATATAGCCACCCTGCTTTCTTTTGGCTTCCATTTACATGGAATATATTTGTTATTCCCTATGCTCTGTTATGATCTGAATAGTAGTGTCCCTCCAAAATTCATGTTACATCCTAATCACTATGGTGATAGTATCAGAAAGTGAGGACTTTTTAGGTGATTAGACCTTGAGGATTCCACTCTCACAGATTGGATTAGTCTTTTTACAAAGGAGCCTCTTGGAACTCCCTGGTACCTTGCAGATTGTAAGGACATAGTGGGAAGGCACCAGCTACATAACAGGAAGAAAGATCTTACAAGACATCAAATCAGTTGGCATCTTAATCTTGGAAATCTCAGCCTCTAAAACTGTATAAAATAATTTCTAGTTTTCATAAACTAGCCAGTTTATGGTAATTTTTATAGTGACCCAAATACACTAAAACAATTTAGGAATAAATATATATTCTTAAATGTTAACATTATCACAAACATAACTTGGTAATTATTAACAAATGTCCTTTAAATTGTGAAATCTGGCTTTCCTCAACTCAACCAAATTATCTAAATCAGGATCACTAACAGGGAGACAACCTGAGTATATAAGCCTCCTGACTTTATAAAAAGAGAAGTAATAAGGTGTTATTAAATAATAATTTTGTCATATTATCGATAAGAAAAAAATAAATTGATGGCATATAATAAATACTGATTTCAAATCATAAATTCTCTTTATAATTAATTCAAATTATTTTGGGTGCTAGATTCACATCTTGTAGAAGTATCTACATTTCATCATTTCTATTGCATTTATGTATTGATAAGTAGTAATTACTTATATCATTACTAAAATAAGACATGATTTGGTTTTTACATAATGACTTCACCTCCTTTAGTAGTGTAAAATTTTCCTAGTCAAAAATGATTTTAACTAACTAATCCTGTTTAAAATGAATGACAATAAATATTGCATTTCAGAACTTTATTATTGAAATTTCCAAAACTCTTCTAATCCAAAAATAGTTAAAAATGTATCTGATGTTAAGAACATTACCCATGACATCTCTGTCGTTCTCATTTATGTATCACCTTGGTCATTAGATATCATTATTGTAAAATAAATTTTGTTTGAGTTTCAAATGTGATATATTTTAAAGGTAGAAAAGTCAGAGAATACTGATACATACAAAGGAATTGAGCTACAACTTTTACCCCTATTATCTCTAAAAACATATATAGAATTTTACCTATACTTTTAAATTTCCTGGCAATATTTTTGCTATAAACATTAATTCAGAGCAAAACTATCATGTTTATTTATTTGCAGGTGAGTGCATGCGTGTTTATAACTGATACTGTATTTTTATTTTTCATATGTCTATGTTGTAATATTTATATACCCAATTACATTTTAAATCCTCTTGATAGTTTACATTATTATGTGTGCTAGATTGATATCTAGTAGAAGTAATTGTATTTCATCATTTTGATGCATTTACATATTAATAAGTAGTAATTACTTGTATCTTATTACTAACATGAGTTAAGACTTGATGAGGCTTCTACATCTTTGTGAAGTCATATAATTTTGAAATCAGACACAATACGTTTTCCACTTACTATAAAACAATGAGCCTCAGCAGTAATGGAGAAAGCTTTGAGAGATTTAAGAGTGATGGACAGAAATGAATTCTGAAAAAAATCGTATCTAATTTCTTGTCATACAAATTTCATGAACTGGACACAACAGTTTATTTGCCAAGTTTTAATATGGAGCTTTTAAGAAGAGGGCCATGGGTCTCAGATTATAAGTACATTTTCACAAATCAACCCAAAATTTTACTTATGAATAAAAAGGAATAAAACAATACTTAAAAATGAAATTGAGAACTGATTTAATAATAATGTTCTGAATAAAGGTGTTGATTTTAATTATGATTGTTTTTTACACAAGTGGGATACTCCAGTTTCCCATCCTGACATGTTCTTAGAAAATCTTGAGAACCTGGTGAAGGATGATAACCATATTTACACACAAATTGAACTGGTTCACCTGATCTTACATAAACTTTTGGGTCGGCTGTCCACTTAAATGTTAAGTTATATTTTTCCATAATTTCTTGTGATATTACACACGGATCTGAAAATAGAAAACAATGAACATAAAGCATTAACTGGTATACAAATCTTCTTCATAGACTTCCAGATTTTCAAGAAGAATGTTATATGATGGTTCAGGAATTATTTCTCAGAACAGTATCTAAACCAACCATGTAAAAACGACATATTGATTTAAATAAAGTTAAAATGGTAAATCACCTGAAAATGAGGTACTATGTTTTATGTATGAGAATTAGGGTTTTTTATCAATGGTCCATTATGTCAATTGTCATTTTAGGATCCCCGCATTTTAGAACTTATCATTGCTGTTTTTCTTTCATTAAGATATTGGTCAAAGAGTACAAATTTTAAACTATGATACGAATAAGAACTTGGAATCAAACATAGAGATCTATAAATATTACAATAGTATTGTAATATTTATTTGAAAATTGCTAAGAAAGCAGATTTTAAGTATCCTCCCACAATCTCACACACATATAACTCACACACCCACCTACACACAATGGTAATCATAGGTGATAACAAATGTGCTAATTAATTTGATTGTGGTAATCATTGTACTACAAATATATCAAAAGAGCATATTGTCAAACATGAAAATATATTATTTTTATTTGTTAAGTAAATGTTTCAAAATAAAATATAAAGAGAAAGAGAAACATTTCTTGACTTTCTAACATAAATATTTGGTAGGCAAGCTTTCCGCAGAATAGTTGTTCAGTAATCTGTGATTAATCTGTTACAAACAGCAAACTATCAGACTCATCACACTGATTTTTCCAGGATTCCATGGATATATTAAAGGACTTACGTAGGCATTTTGGTGGTTCTGACCATCGTCCATTTCTACATGTTATTCGCTTGTTACCCTCAAGTTCATACAAGTTCTGGCATTGATACTCCACTGATGAATCTGGAGCATATACTGACAGTGGGAATGAAGTAGTGTCTCCATTGACAATAGGTGGAGGCCGGCCACATTTTCCTGTAAAATATAAAAAACATCATTTCATCACTTGATTTCTTGGGAAAGCAAATCAAAATACAAATTTAAATAAGGCAAATATAAACACATCACTTTATATAATATCAACAGTGTTGTGATTTCGGGGGAAAGAAATGATTCCTGGAAGAAATTTTAATCTTACAAACTGAAAGTAATATGTTTAAGTTCTTTTTTCCTTACTGAAGAAACACATGAAACATTAACAAATATTTCTGCCTATAGGAATACGAAATGTCTTTCTGAATGAATACATGGTAAACATAGAAAACTAGGACAAAGAAGGTTTCTTATTTTATATTCAACATTCTTGGCGATCATTAAAAAATCCGGAGACAACAGATGCTGGAGAGGATGTGGAGAAATAGGAACATTTTTACACTGTTAGTGGGAGTGTAAATTAGTTCAACCACTGTGGAAGACAGTGTGGCGATTCCTCAAGGACCTAGAAATAGAAATTCCATTTGACCCAGCAATCCCATTACTGGGTATATATCCAAAGGATTATAAATCGTTCTA